GTGTTCTTTATTTATTGATTGTTCAATACCTGACAAGGCCGGAGATTAAATATCTACATACATCTTATAAGAGTATAATACATTATGTATAATATCAGTTAAAATAAGTGCTTCAACATAGTTAACATTGCTGGAGGTATGCACAAATATAGATAGATATCTTGTAATACACTATTGAGGAACCTGCGACCCAAGTTTTTCATTCAATGCATAACTACACCGTTTGTGAATATGATATGTCAATAAACCTTAGAAAATCTTGAAATCTTGAAAGGGATGTGCAAAATAGTCATTATATACAGTCTTTAATGAACTATTAGTAGAGAATAACGAGTAATGAATATACTTTATAGGGATCCTATTAATATCTAATAATAAAAATAATGAAATTAAATAACATGCTTTAACCACTAGGTGTCCCTTTATATCAGCTGTGCACCTTTATGGTGTAAATACAGCCTATCTACCAATTGGATCAAATATAAAAGTCAGCCGAATTAGTGTTGATACTGCAAGGAGACGTATTGTGTGAAAAGAAATGTAAGATGTTGTTTAATGGCTGATATATTTATGATCCACGTCACGTTTTCAGTTCCTCATGTTTGTCTAGAAGTCTTCTCATCAGGGCTCTATAAATACAGAACTACGGCAGATATCTAATATTTAATGCAGCCGAACCGTGTATTACAATGCCGTTATGTGATGACTTTCAAATAGAAAAGCAAGCACACTCGGAATAAAGTATTATTATTTTATTTTTTTAAATGTTTTCGGTCTGTTTCCGGTATTTGTTAATGACGATGTGCTGTGAGATGTGAGACTGGAATTGCACAGGGGAAAATAACGTAGGCTATCTTTAGATGCGGATTTTGTTAAACTAAGATGTTTGTGCTGTGAACCAACACTATACATTGACGGGGAAGGGGGTAACAATAAAGATAACACCATTAAACAGTTACACAACATAACAGAAATAATATCGATAGCAGCGTCCCTAGCAACCACCTTGGTAACAATGAAAACGTTCTATGGACACAATGTCCTGAAGTAATCTTCGTAATAACTAGCAAACTAAAGATCATACATCCACTGCACACATAATCTGAAATAACAACTCATATTTCTCGCATCAAATGACATCAAAACGCATTTTAATGGCCAAACTAACTTTAAAATAGGCATTTTCCACCGAGAATAAAACGAAGTTCGGCCATGTTTTTTTTTTCTGCAGGGAGAAATTTGAAGATCACGTGACATAGACGCCAGCCATTGGAATGAATGGTGGAAAAAAAACGGGGTTTGTCAAACAGAGCACATGGTGGAGTCCAAACGATAGCTGGGGATTCTGGGTAGTGTAGTGTCTTCTGCCATCCTCTACTCCGAAAAAATATTTGTTTCTCCGAATCGAAGGGGAAAAATACAAAAGCATTGCACACAATTTAAACCAATCAATGTTGTGTAATTAACAAGGATAATCTGGTGTTTTTTAGTCGATGAGTAGTGCAGATATCACCAGTGGTGTAGTGGGGATTTTTTTACTGGGGGGACGATATCTTAATCCCAAACAATGCCACACAAGTGCGCACGCGCGAAGTGCACTCACAACACGGGCAGACAGGCCCAAAGAAACTACCGGCATGCTTAGTCCTATAGTTGCTGTACTGCAAAAAGTAGACGGCGCTGCGCTCAACACACACACAGACTCAAAACCATGGACAGACACACTGGCATATAAATTACATAAACAATTTATAGGCCTAAATTGCATAAACTACAGTATTGCAACTAAGCAGACGATGATCTGGACTTGAAATTATTCTGATTAGGCCTAGCCTACATTGCAAATAAACAGACAGCGCTGCTTTTCACACACACACACACACACCTTGCGTTTTGAAGACTGATAAATCCGAAATGGATGAACAAACTTTGCAGCCCAGTTTTCCAGCTTTGCAGTCTCCACGGGTATTCCTCTTGTTTCCTCCGCCATATCTCCTCCGTCCATACCTCTGGGAAAGGTGAGCTTGAGCTAGCCAGGGGAACGTTGCTAGCGCAGCTAACGTTGACGTTAGTGCTAGCACACGTCTTTAGGTGGCTCTTCTGGTGATGTAGTACTAGCAACTTCACTTGTAGCTTCGGTGCTGCTAGCCTCTTTCTTCTTGTGAATTATATTCTTTTTAGAAAATAAGTCAAGTAAAAAATGTTTGCCTGCCATTATAGAGCTTTTTCGTTAGCATTCTTGAGGGAAAGAGCTACCGCAAAATCGGCGGGCAGTGAGCTGGCTCGCCGTGGGTGTGTCAGTGACACACCCCCAGCTCGCCGCGGGGTCATGAGCGTGATGATGAATCATAATTCTTTAAGGAAATCGTTTTTATTTTGTATTATAATTACTGTGAAATGTATTGTGTTTTTGTCATTATTACAACAAATACACACTTGCAGCTGATAACACTGGCAATGATTTTATATTTATTAGACTATTAAAAAAAAGATTGTGCTCCAAATAAGTGGGGGTACGGCGTACCCCCGTGTCCAACGCCCACTACACCACTGGATATCACTGTAAAATCAATCGACAGTAACGGAGCGTCCACACTACAGCTTCAAAAAAAGCTTGGAGCTGGGCGTGTCTGAAGCTTGGGGATTTTATTCAAGCAACGCGACCAACAACCAATCACATGAATCTCCCGCCCCCGACATACAAAGCAAAAACCCCCGGGGATTGTATGGGAGCAATATATATATATAAACTCCCCAAACAGGCGAAAACCTACCAGTTTCACCTACCAGTTGCCACCTCCCTCCATGCCTGGTTCCTCCGGTTTGTATCCCGGTAGGTGAAGAGGGTCTGATCATACAAAACCGGGTGATTTGCTACGGCGATAATTAGTTTCTCCTCCATCTTTTTTTGAAATATAGAAATGAACGGCGGGATATCTCTCCCGGCTTAGACGCGGTTTGATTGGCTACGGCTTGAGCTGTCAGATTTTCCGAAACGGGATTTGATTGGCTGGCGCTGGCTACTCCAGCGGAGACGGACCGCTATGCTACCCACAATTCAGTTCGGCGAAAAAGCGAGGCAACGTGACGTCACCCCATTCAAAGTGAATGGGCAGATTGAAGCTGTCGACGCTGTAGACGGCACGCTGTAGTGTGGACGGGCCGTAAGGGGAATACTTACTTCCGGGTGTACAATTATCCGTTATCCAATGAGAATGGACGCTCACATTGCCTTTAAGGGCAGCCGACACAAACGAATGCCGTGCTTCCATGAGCGTCAAATCCCGCCGCAGATGGGAATACATTGCAATCAGTTGAAAGCTATTTGCGTCCCTTTATGAAGCTGAAGGAGCCTAGGAGCGTCACAACTGCACCCACGGACACTGACCAAACGTCGCTCCTGGACGATTATGGAGTGAGAGTGTGTTGGTCCATCATACAGAGGGCTGCTGTGCCTCCTGTCATCATTAATGGACGTCTCTTTAAAATTACCGCTCAGAGGAGAGGAGTTCTCATTTCTCTAACCGCCTGCTGCTTCCCCTCCTCTCTCCTCGGTTCCCCTCCTCAGTCCTCCGCTCGCATCTCCTGTGGGCGGGACTAAGTCTCGAGGATAGGAGTCGAGGAGGGGAAATTTAAGAATTGCGAAGCCTCTACTGAGTTCCCCTGCCCCCATCACTGGATTTTCAATTTCCTCAAACCTTACCTTTGAAAAATTAAATCATACCACAGTTACATTGTAAATTATGATTTGCGATGCACATATACACAGTATCAAATTATAAATGACGTTGGAGTTGTAAACCCACAGTAAACATTTCATAATAATTATCCTATTTTAGCATATATTTGTTGTGATTTTATTGGCTGAGACAAGCAAGTTAATATCCACTGAATGCTTTTTCCATGCTGATAGAAAACAAGTGGTGTTTCAACTGTGAGGGGCTGAAATGGTTTTCATCTCTTATGAGGCATTTAAATTGTTATGGGTTGCAGCACTGATGAGGTTCAAAAGTATGGTTGTTTTCATGGAGCTGATGAGAGGAGGAACCGGCAGATCATCCTATAAAGATCAAGAACAAGAAATTGAGTGATGGCAGGGGCAGCTAGAAATAGAAGGTAGTGTAGAGATACTAAGAAGACAAATGTCAGGAGCAAAAGGTCAGGAAGAATGCAAAAAGAGAGGAGAGGTTGCGACAGGGAGAAGGGCGCTCATTAGGCTGTCAGATATTTCTGCTATCACCACTTGTGTTGTAGACACCAGCAACGACATAGGAAATGTAACGTGGCGTTTAATTTCATGAACACATGGCCTAGTGACAAAGATTAATCTGCCACATGAGGTCGGGGTCGTTCCCCCGACACATTCATCTCTCTTACCCTTTCAGGAGGAAACAGGTGTGATGTAGTGCAGAGTGGGCTTAGACCTTTCAAAGCATCACTCATGTTGGTTTATATTAGGGTTTGATCCTGGATCCGAGTGAAACCAAGATACGAACACGAACAAGTCAAAATAAAAGCCACCTGGTGTCATTGAAAAGATGTCAGTAAGTCACTGCGTAGTCAAATCAGATAATCAGTCAATATCCAGGATGTCAGGATTCTTTTGGTAAAATAAACGTAACAGAACATTTGGAGTCTGTATCTGCAAAATATATATATGCCAGCTGTTTTTCTCCTGCAGTTTATCAGATGGCTTATGTCTGTTTAATCTGTTTTCCCATCAGATGCCACTCACAACTCGGTGCATTCAGATCTTTTTGTATGCTTTTTCATTTTAACCTCATTTATTCTTTCTTCCTATGATTCAGTTTTGCCCTTTATTTCTGATGTTACCGGTGAGGAAATAATACGGAAAAAAATACAAGAAGGCTTGACTGTCAGGATTGCTTTTTGTTGGAGAAGTATAACGCATCATCACAGGTGCTGCCTCTTACGGTGCAGTGGCTTTGTTCTGTTGACTGTTTTTGTAAACTGCTATTTGTTGATGTTTTTTCTTACAGGTAGTGGGAGAGTGGCGCTTTAGCAAGATCCACTGTGACATCTTTGTCACTCTGGATGTGATGATGTGTACAGCCAGCATCTTCAATCTCTGTGCCATCAGCATTGATCGGTGAGTTCACCGCTGCACTGATTATTAAGGCCTGTCTGTCATGCTTTCTGTACGGAGCTTCAATGGAAATCTTTACGCACATTGCCATCAGCGCCCACACAGCTATAATCTGAAAAAAGGCCTCAATTGTGCACAATGCAAAACACCCTAATGTCATCTATTGAGTTATATAAAAGTCAAGAGCACACATGTCGTAATTGATAGCATCTAGATGTTCCAGAATTATAAATGTGAATATACTACCTCTAAGAAATATGCTTAAAGGAATTACATCTATTGGCAAAATCGTTGACGACTGCATGATAAACAAACATTAGCAAAAACCCGAAGTTTAAACCCTAATGAAAAAAAGCAGTTAGGTTTAAGTTAGAAACCTTTGTTTATTATAAGACAAACAGCCCACAAAGCACAATACAGACTTAAAAAAAACAATCAGAAGAAATACTTACTTACAAGGCCAATGACACATCTTTGTCAGGGTGCGTGGAAAAGGTAGGACCCAATTAATGCAGTATTAACAAAAAGCGAGCTTTAATTTACAAAAAAAAAGCCGATGACTAGTGATGTTACGTATTGCGCCGAGGCTTCGGAGCGTGTGTCGAGTAATCCCCGAAGCTTTTTGTGAAGCATGTATCGAGGCTTGTATCGTTTTGGGCCAGTGACGTCATCGATGACAAACGAAGCCTCGCTGCCTGTCGATACCACGTGACTGCTTCACGAAGCCATTCAGATCGGTTGAACCACAACGCTCATATTACCCATGGATGTATAATAAGAACAATGTGGAAGCTATTCAGTATTTTTCACATTTATTTAATGTATTTATTTGTTGTTTTTTTTGTTTTGTAGAATTAGTTAATTTACAGCCATATTATTTAAGTTAAGTTGTGTTCCAGCTAAAATGCTTTTATTTTGAAGGTGATGGGTCAATTTGGGCACACAGCTGGGTTTATTTAAGTCAATCAGGGCACAGCAGCAGTCAGTGGGCACCGGGAAGGTCTATGGTTTTTTACCAGTGTCAGGGCTGAGTTCAGCAAACATTTAAACACCTTTTGCTGTATTGTTCCCGCAAGGTGAAGCTAATAAATACCACAAAAACGTTGATGCCTTGTCTGGACAATGGATTAATTACCAACTCCTGATCTGCGTAAGATCCACTATACCTGGTGCCTCAGTGGCCTTTTGAAACTGTATTGTTGTTGACAAATAGCCACTACAAACAATATAACCACTCCTGTACCCGGGCCCGGTGACACGATGGAATTAAGAGAGCTCAGACCCTCACTTATATAGAGGTCGGAACATGTCATAAGTATAAATAGATACAAGCATAAATAAATGTAGGAATAAAAACATGAATAAATAAATGAATAAATACAGGAATAAATATCGTGCAGTGTTTTCAGGGAGATTCAGTGTGGGGCTGCGGCTCAGCTGGAAAGCAGTTGACTCACGACCGCAGGGTCCCTGGTTCAACAACTGGTCAATAGGCCTACGTATTTTTGGTTGTTTATAAAAGCTACAGCTAAATGAGATAATGTAGTTAAGAAATGTATTCTTTGATATGGTTTAGCCTTTCTCAGGCTACAACATGGTTAAGTTTATGGAGGAATACAAATCCCTCTTTGCAATGTTTACCAGCCTCCTTAGGCTTTTCAATCACAATCATTCAACTGGAATAAAAACAATATTGTTAACATGAAAATATGATTTAATGTTCGTTGTTTAGAGTTATTCTAAGGCTTTACTCATTGGGAACTCGGTATGAGATAGAGCACACTGTTGAGATGTCCAATCTGCCTGTTTTACACACTTTGACCAACAGGGGGGTTTGTGTTCAAATGAAGCCCATGAGATGAACCCTTTTGCGAACCAATTGGCTGGAAAGCTTCATAAGGCTTCATCTCGCCATCACTACCGATGACAAAAGAAAACAAGAGACAAACTTAGTATTACCAAAACAGGGGAGCGTGAATAAATAATCCAGGACCAAAACTTCAAGGACAAACATGGAACGTGACATGAAGGGAAAGACAAACAATGAATCTGACGTCTACCCACAACAATATGTAATCTATGCTATGCTCGAATATGAACAAAAACATAAAGACCATCAAAATGTCAAAGGACATCTTTTGGTTAAGATACGGATGGGAAAACATTTGCGACTTGCAGTGCAACTTGCAGTGACAAAGCAATAGAAACACCTGACTAAGTTCTGCAAACCTCAGTATGAGTTCCCTCTACATTGAGTGAATTTAGGAGCAAACAAGGCGAAAAACAATAGCAGCGTCACATCATGGCTGGTAATGAAGTGCCATTTAGAAAACCTATCACTGAAACATCTTCACTTTGAATCATTAAAAGTCACCCATTATGCAAAATCCACTTTTTCATCTCTTTTATACATAAGCATGTGTCCCCTTAGTAAAGAGATTCTGACATGTTCAGGAAAAAAGATTTACTCACTTGTTGTCCTGATCCATATCAAAACCTGTCTGAAAATGAGCTGATCAGATTTTGCCCACTTTATGATGTCATAACGATTTTTTTGCTTGTGTAACCATTATCCAATAACCAACCAAGGTAACCCCCCCTCCCCCACCTTATCACCTGAATCTCCTCCTGGAGCACCATTGTGTTCTTTTTAACCAAATATCTCTCAGAGGGGCGTTGGGAGTGGCTCCTTATTTTCATCTAAAGTAACAGACAGAGAATCAGCACTTTTGAAACAGGGCTGAAACAGAGGGATTTATGGGATGCTACAATGATCTGTTTGGTCTTTCAAGCCAAACACTTCAGAGACATGTTTAGTATATATCTGAGAACTATTATATGTTGATGAAAAACAGTATAATAGGGGGCCTTTAAAGCCTTGTCCAAAAGGAAATGCACTTTTTTAGTTGTGTTTTTTAACTGGACCTCTATTAGAGTAGGCCTACTGTATATCTCAAACTGCTGAGGAAGCAGAGTTACACAAGAAAGCTGTTCATGTGAAGAGTATGTAAATCTCAAGCTGTCAATAAAAATCCATAGGAAGTAATCGTGTGATGTTGATAACCAAAAATATGTATTCAAAGTCTTAGTGCTTAGTTTGCTGACATCTGACAATTACCAAGGGCGTTCTGTTTTTCATATTTTCATTTCATAGAATCCTGCCAGGTTTAATCTTACATGATTTTATGCTTGGTTGCCTTTTTCACCTTAAATCTATATGCAAAATGTGCGCTCACTTTGGTCGCACAAACACAATTTCAATTCTTACTGGCCTGAATGTATTAGAATGCAAAGGTCTCTCACATGTGGAGAAAAGCTTCCTTGAATAAACACCTGGTATCTCAAGATAATCATTGTTTGCATGTAATTGAAATGAGTGTTACAAGCATGGGAATTACATTAAAATTTACATTTAGAAATTACTAATCTGATTTGTGCCTGCTTGCTGTGTACAGTACATGTGAATACTAATCACTGGTGTCCACCCTTATGATGCTGATTTGTAAAAGTTCATCAAGAAGTCACTGAAGAATTTGTTATCTTTTATCAATTCAGCAGCTTAAGGGAGCATCATATTTTATACATCAAAGGATTTTAGTTTTGCTCCAAACTTTGTTCTGCACTAATGAGTGTGTCGACAACTTACTTTTAAATGCGTGGCCACAGGATATAAAACCGTTTTTCTGTATTACTATATAGTTTAAAGGTGGGGTAGGTAATTTTGGAGAAACCAGCTCGAGTGCGCTAGAATTTGAAAATACACAGCCGGAAAAAATCGGCCACTTGCTTACAGAGCCCCTCCTCCAACACACACAAACGCGCACATGACCAATGAGGGCACGAGATAAGTTTGTGCACAGATGGAAGGCTGACAGGCAGGTAGGCCATCCAGTTATTTTTAGCCGGCTAAAATGATTGGTCATGCTTTTTACAGTATTACGGCTTCCACAGATGACATTTTTTTATGGATTTTTTGTCAAAGCACTTTAGATATTCATTGCTATCGGGATGTTAAGAGCATTCCATGGAATATAACAAAAAGTATATCTCGAGCCGGTTTCTCAAACTTACCTACCCCACCTTTAAGGGGCGAACACATTAACAGAAGGTAGAGCTTGCCAATCAAATCTGCTACTCACTCCCTCTTTAAAGGCAGTAGCCATAAAACATATCTGAATTTGTGTAGGTGATATGAACATAACATAATTCAAATGATGTTCTCTGGGCTATATTTCAGATTTAGAGCATATTATCTAGGGATTGCCTAATGGCAAAGAGACAGCATTTAGCACTCTTCTTGACCATTCAAAATGCTTTAAAACACAAAGCAAATATGTGATTGCTGCTATACAAATGTCCTGAATGTTGTATATATCACATTTAAACCACAAGAAACTTCCCCATCATTACGCTCTCAGTGAGTCATCATGTGCCCTAAAATACCATCTCCAATGATTGCAGGTGTATAACTTCAAGGTTCAAGGTTCTTTATTGTCAAACTAACATAGCTACAGAGTAATTATGTCGTTGAAAATCTTAGGTCACAGGCTTCTCCAACAATGCAACACAATAATACAGATAAGCAGACAATATTAAAATATACTATGCGAGTATTTTAGATAATAAGCAGAGTTGTGCAGCTCTATTTGTTGACCTATCCAAAGCTTTTGATACTGTCGATCATTGCATTTTGAAGCAAAGGCTGGTCAGTATAGGCATGTCCAGCCATGCAGTAGGGTGGTTTGTAAACTACCTCTCTGAAAGATCCCAATGTGTTCAGTTTGATGGGCTGTCTTCTGAGTGGTTAAACATCACTAATGGTGTACCACAAGGTTCAGTTTTAGGTCCGCTATTATTCTCTATCTATATTAATAGTTTAGGTGAAAATGTCGAAGGAGCAACCTTACATTTTTATGCGGACGATACCGTTATGTACTGTGCAGGTCCCTCGATTAACGAGGCTGTTGTTAAATTACAGGCTGTTTTTAACATTATTCAGGCTC